CAGAGGGAGGGTCAGTGAACCTCAGAATCAGACGTGGGTGGGGGGACACTGAGGCTGACAGCTGGACTCCAGTCCTAAGACCCATTCAGTGTTGCCTTGAGACCAGTGCAAGAGGGGCCCTGATCTGGACCTTGTGTTTTTAAAGTTCCTGCTCTGGACCTCCTCTTGGGGTGCCTATACCAAGGGGTCTGTGGGGAGGTGCTCACCTGGAACCTGCAACCCATCCACCCACTCTTCCTTCTAGATCGGGGGTTGGCAAACTGCAGCTCACGAGCCACATGCAGCTCTTTGGGTACGTACATGTGGCTCTGAAGTAAAATGGAAAATGAAAATAACACTATCATAGTTTCATTTATAAAATTCTTAAAGGATATTATTCACATAATGGTGATTTCATTTGTTTTATAGGTCTCGCAAAACTTTGAGGGACAGGATTGGCTCTTCCGTCTCAAAAGTTTGCCGACCCCTGTTCTAGACCAAGCTCTGGGTACCCATAACTTTGAATCCCTGCCCAGGTAACCATAAGCCCACACCCCGGGCCCGCAGGACCCTGCCTAGCCCATACTGGGCCTCCCCTAGGCCAGGTCTGGGCCCCTGAGTTCTGGGTAACCGAAGTCTTCCCCTTGGCCTTGTGGAAACAGAACTGTGCCCGTGTGGACCTGAAGCCTGCTTGGGGAATAGCAGGTAGGTGATTCAGGGAGTAAAGTACTGTAAACACCAAAATTAGGTGTTTTGCCCTTTGGGAGCTCACTCAGAGACCACCTACGCTGACCTTCCACCTTATCGATGGGGAAACTGAGGCCCAGAGAGGATTCTGCCCAAAAGTGCAGACCTGGGCTCTGTTCTCTGTCTCTGCCAATTACAAAGGCCCCTTCTCTTGTTGTGCCCTCAGCCCTAGCGAGTTAATGGTGCCTCTCCTTCTCCATCCCCTGTTCTTTTCCTCCCCTATTCTCCAACTACCTATCAGGCTCTGGAGGAAAACCCAGTGAGCTCTCTGTCCTATCACCCTCACTTGTAAATCGCACTGACAAATGTAACACCATTTCTACCTCTGAACTTGACCTTCCACCTCCACACAGCAGCAGCCTCCCCTCTTCCCTGTGGGTGGGCCCAGCTCTCCCCACAGCCACCTTCTTCCCAACAGAAACCGAGCAGAGCAAATTGCTTAATGAGACCCATATTTTGCTGTGAATTGCTAATTAAAGAGCAAACCCAACCTACCATTAATTTGGTCCTGGGAAAGAAACTTGGCCTGCAGCAGACAGAGGAAAACAGTCAGGGAGGGACTCCAAGACAGCCCCCGCTAACCCCACTCCCGCCACCCCACCCCCCTCCCAGCCCAGGCCAGCCGGCAGGTGACACAGACCCTCGCTTACCATCGCAGGGGGGCCTAGGGCTGCACTGGTGGGCTCACTGCTCCCAGGATTGACTTCTTGGTTTCCTCTCTCCCGCTTCAAGTCGAAAGTCCGCCAAGCTGGGTGGAGGCCCCTGTAATAAATCCGCGGTTGCCATGGAGACCAGGCCCAGCGCCAGGGGTCAGATTCCAGCTTCCCTGCACAGCTGATGCCCGGCTCAGCCTGGGCAGAGCAGCAGGTTGGGTTTGGAGAAAACAGGGCTGCAGAAGAACTCCCCGGCGCCTCGGTCCTGCACCAGGAAGCTGATGCTCTGGAGCAAACGGCCGTTCCTTTCTGGGAGCCCTCCCTGGACACAGACAAGGGGTCAGCGACACACAGAGAGGGGGACAAGGGGGCTGATCCTGGGCCCTGCCGTGGGTCTGCCCCTGGGGGTCTCCTCTCTCTCTCTTGTGACTAAGCTGAGAGCTGACAAGGAGCCAGGCACTTTTGCATACTCTTATTCAGGGGTCATCACACACCATCCTGTGGGTAGAGGAAACTCTGCCAGGATGGCACAGCCCAGTGATGGCCTCTGTCACCACCCAAGCCTTGGGATGCAGTGTGGAAAAGGGGCACAGGCTTTGGTGCTCAGGTTGGATTCCAACCCTGCACATGCCCATCTGCTGAGTGAGCTTGGCGCATCATTTCACTGCTCTGTGCCTCAGTTTCCTTGCTGGGCCTCATCACAGGACTGTTGAGAGAATCAAATGGCCAGTGCATAGCCAGTTCTCAACGTGTCAGTTCCCTTCCCTCCTTCCAGGGACCCTGGAGATGGGGACAGGGGCCAGCTCTGGTGTCTAGGCCCCACAGTGAGCTCCCAAGGGGCTCAGTGGGAGCTCTCTTAGGTGACTTTCCAGGGCAGGAAGCTCCTCCTTTTCTTCCTTTCCTTTCTCTGCCCTCCACAGCCCCCACTCCTTCCGGCAGAAGCTGCTGACTCTCCGGTTTCCTCAGTGGCTTGTGCTCCTCCCCACCCCCCACCACACACACACACTGAGGAAGTGAGGGCAGGGTGGGGGTTCCCAGGGTGGGGGTTCCCTAGAGCTGCTGAGCTGGGCACAACTGGGTTCTCACCCTCCAGCTCCTTGTCCACAGTTAGTGGCTGCCCTGTCAGTCGGGCTCCAACTCCAGGGCTCTGCCCACTTTGTCAGAACCGGCATGTGTGGCTGCACAGTTTGTGTCCTGCACAAGGGCTCCTGGCCCAGGGGACAAGTGAATCCCGGTGAGGCGCTGTGAGGAAGATGGACCTCTGGCTAATTTGTACGAGACACACAGATAGGTGGGGCCTGCCTCTGGCCCGTTCCTCTCCCTCCTTTTCTGACCACCTCCATGTGGCAAGTTTCTCTTTCCCCCCAAACCTTGTCTCGAGTCACTGCCGCACGCCTGTTTCTAGACCCAGACAATTTCAGCTGAAGGATTCTGACTCCTCCCTGTTGGGGCTGAGAAGGGGCGAGGCTGGCTGGGGTGCAGCGGGCAGGAGAGGGGAGCTTCTCACTAACAACCTTGCAGGGGAGAAGGGGTGAAGGAAAGTCAGGTAGGGCCTTGGAAGGGCAGGGGCACAGGACTGAGGCTTGGCGGGAAGTCTGGAGGGGCCAGGCCAAAGCACACACTTGGAATCACCCTGCGTTTTACAAGGGGCTCATGGGGAGAGACGAGACATTTCCTTGGGTGTAGGTCAGTGTGTGCTGGGGTTTGGGGCTGTGTGCCCCCAAAGGCATCGCCACTGACACACCCTTGCCAACTCCTTCCTTAGTTTTTTAGGTGTCTCCAAGGGGTGTCTCTCCTATGACCGAAACACCTGCATGAGAGTGGTGGCTACATGAGGGGTCATCGGGTTGTACGTTGTACTGTGTTGTATGTTACACTTCAGCTCATCAAGAAAAAACAGAACCCCCTCCATACCACCTGGGGGCCGAGGTTTTGTTCACCTGAAGGGCCCCACCACCAGGTTTCTGATTCAGCCGGTGGAAAGGGGCAGGGTTTGCATTTTTCTCTGCCATCCTGACGCTTCCCATCAGGACCACATGTTGAGAACCACTGGCCTAGAGTTTTCCAGGTGGAGTCAAGCCAGGTTGCAATTCCAAAGTATTTCTAGGGAAACATTTCCAGTAAACTGCCCAGAGAGATCTCTGTCAAAAGGAATCTCCAAACCTCCAGTAATTTGCTGCAATTTCTTTTCCAGTCTAAATACATTGACCCTTGAACAAACACAGGTTTGAACAGCATGGGCCAACTTGTATGTGAATTTTTTCCAATATATACAGTAAATGTGTTTCATCTTCCTTATGATTTTCTCAATAACATTTTCCCTAGCTTACTTTATTGTAATAAAGTATATATATGTGTGTGTGTGTGTGTATATAACATATATATGTCATACAAAATATGTGTTAATCAATTTTGTTATCGGTAAGGCTATTATTAGCACAGTTGGCCCTTGCATCTGTGGATTTCCAATCATGGGTTGGAAATACTGTTTGGATCCGCAGTTGGTTGAATCCATAGATATGAAACCCGAGGGCATGAAGGGCCTAATGTAATTTTTTTTTTATTGGGGAACAGTGTTTTTTTCCAGAACCCATCAGCTCCAAGTCTAATAGTTGTTTCAATCTAGTTGTGGAGGGCGCACACAGCTCAGTGGCCCATGTGAGGATGGAACCGGCTACCTTGGTGTTATGAGCACTGCGCTCTAACCAACTGAGCTAACTGGCTGCCCCCTTTTCTTTTCTTTTTTTGTAGTTGTTTTTGGTGATTGAAAAGTTCTATGTGGATTTTCCACTTCGCAGGGAGTTGGTATCCCTAACTCCTATGTTGTTTGAGGGTCAACTGTATTCACTTTCATACCTAATTTTTTATTCACCTTAAAAAAAATGTTTTCTTATCAACCCCCCCCCCTCCCCGCCCAAACTGTATAAGCCTCAGGCCCCACACAGCAGGCCTGTGCTTGCTCATAGAATATCTGTGAAGTCCTCTGCGAACAGACCTCAGACAGGGGTTGCAGGTAGGGAAGGAGTCACGAGGTTGCTGGGCAGGTAGGAGCACGGGGCCTGTGGTGGTGTGGCCGCCTCCTGCCCGTCTCCTGACCGGCAGACCCCTCTGTGTTGTCTGATACAGTAACCCGTAAGTTCCCGTGGCTGTCTGCGTGGAGGCTGAGACCTTTGAAGATCAAGAACTGAGGCTCCAAGACATGAGTGACTTGCCCCAAGGCTAAGGACCAACCTCCAAACCCGCCTCTCCACCTTCCCCCAAAGGGCACCCTCTTTGCTCCAGCCTCTGGAATGGGCTGGCAGCACAGCTGGGAGGCTCCATGTGACCTCTCTGAGGGACGGGTCTGGAGATGCCCTGACCTAGCCCCCACCCCCAGAGCCCCCAGGCTCCTCTGAAGAGGGCTGGGACTGACTGAGGCCCTTCTTGCCCCCCCCCCCAAGCCCGGGATCCTACAAAGTGACATGGAGGGCCAATGGGCAGCAGCCACTCAGCCAGATGGGACGGAGTGGGCCTCTGGGGTATGCCCAGCATCCTGGGGCCCAGGCCAGCCACACTCTCTCCTCTAGGGACTTCTCTCCTGCCTCCCAAATTCACAAAGTAAGCAGCAGCCACCAGCCAGGCTTGACTTCACCACTGCCTTTATTCACACCTCACCACTTGATGCCACCGGCAGACAGGGACTGACCAGGAGTTGGGGGTCCCCTAAGGGGCCTGCATGGGGACCCCAACATAAAATGAGAATCTGAGGCCTGGGGCTCCCTGAGAACACAGGAGAGGAAGCAGTGCCCAGGGAAGGCAAGGCAGGCCCGAGACCCACGAGCTCATGTGGGCCGGGCCAGCGCTGGCTGACAGTGAGGCTGTGGTGCCCGCAGCTGTGTGACGAGACCTGGCCCCAGTGCCTGGTAGAAGGCAGAGGGTGGGGGGTGGGGGTGGACATCCTGCTGGGAACAAGGCCTCCCTTTTCTGGGAGCAGGGACCTGGCAGAAGGCATGAGATTCGGACTGAGACAGGCCAACTGGAGAGAGCCTCAGTACTCCTCCCCACAACCCAAAGGGGCTCAGGGGCTAGTGCAAGAGTTTGAGAACCGTCTTCAGCTGCAGCTCCAAAACCTGCAGTCAGGCTGACATGGAGAGGGTGCCACAATTCTCCTGGAGGGAGAGCTACTGTAGCCAGACTCCTAAGGTCAGGCTGGTGGTTAGGGAAGGGGCTGGCCTCTGGATCCTTGGGGTTGGGTGGCTCAATGCCCCATGCAGCCTGAGATAGGGGTGAGGGTCTGGGGTGCAACTACCCCTCCCAGGGTAGGAGAGAGCACTGACAGGATAGAACTACTCATTCATCCTCAGGCTGCCCCAAGAGAAGACTGCAGAGGGCTTCTGAGGGGTTATCTGGTCCACCCCACTGACCTACTTTGGGACTCTGGACACATCTAGTACAAATGAGTCCCAGAGAAGGGACATGCTTTGCTCAGTGATACACAGAAGGTTCATGTAACCTATGTAATCAGGGCGGGTCTGAGGCATGGGCCAGGTGGTGGCCAAGTCGCCTCCTGACTCTGCCCCTCCCAGGCCTCTCCTGCATGGCTACCGGAGGACTTCCCAAGAAGAAGGGACCAGCCCTGAGCAGTGAGAGTGAGAGGGGCCCCGACTCCAGTCAGGTGCACAGGAAGGCAGCGCCCCTATCTTGGCCAAGACACACTGCCTAAAACTAAGCTCCATCCTGAAAAGATCCAAAACAAATTTGACCAGAACAATTGAGACACCTGGTGATGCACCCCGTGCACACATGTACACGTGTACACACACACACACACACACACACACACACACACAATCTGTGCACAATGCATATTCTCACCCATGTTCTCAGTCAGGGGCTGCACACACGTGACTGGACATGCACATGTGCACACACATTGCACGCGCACACACACCCCATGCTCAGATACCCTCTATGGCCTATCTCCCATCCGACAGAACATCAGAGGCTGATGCCAGGGACTCAGTGTTGGCTGCTGATGTGGAGGGTGTAGAAGGCCCAGGGCTCAGGGACGTAGATGACGCCAGGGTACTTCTTCCTGAGCACAGGGTCATTCCATAGCCAGGCGACCCAGAGGGCCACAAGCAGGAGGGTGAGGGCAAAGGAGTAGAAGAGGAAGAGGCCGTTACTGTCTAGGAAGAGGCGCTTGCGCTTCTGGTGCAGGACGAGGGCCAGCATGGCAAAGAAGGTGAAGATGAAGAGGATGAAGATCTGGCCCTCGGTGACCAGGTACCTAAAGAGACCAGTGGGTGAGGTGAGCGGATGCCATGACAGCCCCATCCTGCCCAGCATCCCTCCCTCCACCCAGGCCCCAGGCTACCCTCCCGTCAGTCAGAAGAGCTCATCTAATGAGTGGGCGCAGGGGGCCACACCACTCTGAGCCACAGTCCACATGCAGCATATGGATTAGGTTTGGATACTGGCTATTTTTTTGAATGTGCACTTGTTGCCAATATTTAAATAACAAAGTACCTGAAAATGTGTATTTCTGGTTTCTCTGGTCACATTAGACTTGTATTCCCAACATGACAACTGATTAGAGGAAAAAGCAGCTGTTCCCTTTAGAGAGAGCACTGTTCTACAGCAGTCCCCACCATTCTCTGGTGCCTCACTTGGTATCTGCTTGATGCATCTGTTAGCCAGCTTGGTTCCTACAGGCATTTGAGTTTGGGAATGAGTTACAATTTACGGGGGCTGTCACTATTGTCTCCTTGAAGGCTGGGACACAGGTACAGATCTCCCAGGGTTCCCTGCAGCTCCTAAGGCAGCACCTAGCCCATGACCAGGACCCAGTGACACTTGTTGGAGGGCTTCTGAAAGGCTATCTGGTCCACTCCACTGCCTCTAGAGAGAACCACAATGCTGACCCACTCCACTCAAAGACCTATAGCTCCGCAGCAGTGTGGCCTTGGGGAATTTACATGACACCTTGGAGCCTATGTTCTCTTACTCATGAAGGGAGCATAAATGGCCCTCTCTCTCAAGGTTACTGACAAGAGCTGTGTACATCTCTCACTTGGAAAAGCATCTTGTTCAGCAAATGGTTGCAGCTACTATCGAAGCTATCCCTGCACTAACATGCTGAGTTAAGAACTGGGTAGGAGGCCCTTTCCCATGTGTAACCGCTTTCCCTCTTGCTGTATTTGCCACCCTTTCCTTTTAATCCTGTCCCCAAGGGTCATACAGATTTGCTCTGGTGGACCCTCTTAGCCAGTCAGGGAACAGACCCTGGAGGGGGGCTGGAGCTGGTCCCAGGAAAGGAGGCCCTTTCCATTTTGATGGGGGCTTCCCATCAGAGCAGGGCTAGTCCTTCCTGTGAAACCCATAATCCCCTGGGGGAGCCTCTCTCCAGGGCAGAAGTGACAGAGGAGGGTAAGAGCCTGGCTGAGGCCTAGGTCCTCTGTAAAGGGAAAAAACAAACAAACAAAAAAAAGGGGCAGGGAGCTCCCAAAGCCATGGAATTCTCTCCGTATCTGTCCTTGTCATCTCCATGGTGCTTTATAGTGTACAAGACCCCTCTCACTCCCTCTGGATTCTCACCATCTCCCGAGAGGGCGAAAAGCAGGAGGAAACTGAAGCCCACAGGGCTCGACAGGGCTTAATGTTGGAGATGGATTCTATTGGCCCCAAGGTGGCACTGGGGTTCTGGAAGGTGGGGCACAGGGCAGAGGGGCATGAGGATAGAGGCTACACTCAGGCCTAGCTTCCTGGTAACAGACCACCACAAACTGGTCACAGTCCTCACTAGAAGAGTTTAGGGTCAATGTTTAGGGGTTCATGCTGTTTAGGGTCCATGCCTGAGACAGGGGCCCCAACAGGGAGGTTTCCACCTGAGGTCCCATAATAGCTCTGCGGTCAAGAGCACATTTTGATTGCCTGGCTCACTAGCGCCCCCTCCCATTCTCCATCCCTGGTCCAGTGTCCACTCACCAGTAGTACAGGCCACTGGGCACCACCAGGAGCAGGGCTGCCCCTGGCATCGAGCTCTTGGCTTTGGTGGGAGTGAAACAGCCACTGAAGTACATGAAGAGGATGAGGAAGAAGGGGATGTACCTGCAACAGGGAGACGCACGCCTGAGAGGCCTGCCCAGCTGCGCTGCCCACCCGCCCCCTCCCAAGCTCTCGTCCCCACCAGTCCTTGTACTGGTTCCTCGCACCACCCCATGCAATGCCACTTCATGGTTTGCAAGGTGCCGGGTTTGCAGGAGGGCACTCAGCGTCCCTGCCAGCCTTCCCTGTGTTGCAGGTCCAGGTTGGGATATGAAGGAAGCAGGAATTGGAGGCCTGTTCCCCAGGCACATGCACATTAGAGGCCCACAGGCCGGCTGGGTGGAGCGGCCCCCGCCCACACTGCTCTGGCTACCTCGCTCACTCCATGTGTGTGTGTGGGGGGTGCCTCTCCCTCAGGCACAGACTCTAAACACCCGCAGCCCCAGCCTCTCACTGGCCTGGAAACAGGGGTACGCAGCAGGGCTTAGGAGGGAGGGGCCTGAGGTTCAGGTAAATAAAAAAGAGAACAACACCTGCTGGGGGCCTCCAAGGAGCTCTGTGAAGCCCCTTCACTCACAGCCCACAGCCTCATCCTCTTCCCACACACACACACACATCTCACCCAAAAAGGACCACCCTCTCTCCCCCCACACACAGGCTGCTTCTCCCACGCGTCCGTGCTGTCTCTTACACACACACGTACCCCTTTTCTCACATTCCCTCTTGTCTCCTTAACCACCTCCCTCACCCCCCTTCATATGGCCCCCCATACACTCCCACATCCCCTTCTGCTATTTCACGTCTCCAGGCCTCTGTTCCTCTCTCCTCCTTTCCCCAGCCTTCCATAGGAAGGGTCTCTGGCAAAGGTCAGGGAGAGCTGGCAAGAGGACCCTCTGAGCCAGGCAGATCCACTTTCCATGCCCCCAAATAGACTCTGGAAACACAAGTGTAGGGCGTGTGTGACCTGAGTGGGCTCACCTCACTCAGGAGTGAGGCCGTCTAGGTCCAGGGCTGGATCTAGCTGTCAACCCATGGTCAAATCTCCTCCCAGTTTACCCTGTGAAAGTGGGGTTTGGAACGATGCCTGCTCCCTGCTTGGGCTTTGAATCTCCTGGGTCTGAGTTCCCCCTTTGTGAGGGATGAAGGGGTGGGGGAAGCTCACCCGGGAGTTCTGAGGAAGGGGGGGGGCACAAACAGCACCACCCCCCCACACACCTGGTCTAGCTGGCCCTCCTCAGCTTCCTCCCCTTTCCCATTCCCAAAGACCAAGGACTGACATGGTGCGGGTGTTTGCCCCAACATCACCACTGGGGGGGTCGCTGATCAGCGCAAAGGCCTCCACCTCCCCCACCAGCCTCAGGCTCCCGGCAGGGCGAGCACCGGACGGCCGCTCGCTGCCCTCTAGTGGCCGCCGCGGGCACCGCCGGGCTGGAAGGAGGCGGAGGGAAGCCGACCCCAGCATGTCACTCAAGCCGAGATCACGGCCTCCCCTCAGGGGAAGAGAACGTCATTTCAGCTGCTGCATTTGACACCTGGAGTCCCGAGGCCCAGAGTCTTTTTCGAGTGTCCCCCGAGGCCGGTGGCAGAGCTGGCGGGGGGCCAGGGGCCCTGCGTAGACAGACCGGCCCCATCACTCACCACATGGAGTGGCCCAGGTACTCGTCGTAGTAGTAGAGCAGCTCAAAGGAGTCGATCTGAGGGCGCAGGGGCGACAGGGTTAGAGGGAGGTGCTTCGGGACGGTGCTGGCCCACGCAGCCCCCTGGCCACCCTCCTTCACGCCAGGGCCTACCCCCAACTGCCTCGTTCCCTGCCTTCCGGTAGGAGGGGGCCCAGGTGGGAGCCCCCTAACATGCCACTTACTAATAACACATGAGTGTCCTAGCTTGGCGGGGGGGCAGTGTCCTCACTAGCAGATTGCCTTCAGCAGGTCACGCAAAGGGATAGGTTGGGGCATCTCTTTGGCCTTCAGGACAGGCTGCGCCTGCAGGATTTACATGTGGGGGAGGCTGACTCACCAGCGTCTCAGGTTTGAGATTCTTGATGATGGGGTTCTCACGGACAGACAGGTGGTGCTGGTAGCCGCTGAAGAGCAGGCGGTGGTTCACTGAGTCGCCCACCAGGTGGATGCTGGCGCCCATGATGAAGGTGATGATGCTGACATAGATCATGGAGCGCGGCAGGGTGCGGGGTGACCGCTCGATGAGCTGAGGTCAGAGGGAGGCCCCGCAGCGTGACCCGGCCTCCATCGCAACGCGAGACACCCTCTGCCTCCCGCCCTTTCACCCGGGGTGGGATGGGTGCCACCAGCTGGAAAGTCGCTCACAAATTGGTGAGTCCCTCTAGTGGGCCAGCCCAGCCTCCAGAGCCTCTGTTCACATGATCCCTGTGACCCAGCAGGGCCAGGGGAACAGCCAGAAAGGAAACAGACTCAGAGGGGCTGTCTCATTGCCCAAGGTCACACACAAGCCTCCTGCTGGAGGTGATGCCAGGACTTCAACACAGGCGCCGAGGCTCCTGGCTCAGCCCTCCCACTGCCCCCCGTTGTGCCCCTGGGTGGCTGGGCTGGCCTGCTGAAGAGCGCCTCCAATTTCTGAGAGATTGGTTCACGGCAAACACAAAGAAAATGACAGGGATGGGGGCGGGTGCTTCTGAAACCAAATTACTTCACTGAAGACGCCTCTGAATTCTGAGATGATACATTTCCAAATTTTAGAGATTTGAAATATCTTTCTAAGAACAAAATGATGGGGGTAGTAGATAGTGATAGTTATTTCAAGAGCCCTTATTTGGCAAACTGCAAAGCTGGCAGCCCTGGCTAGCTGTGTGTTCCCAGTGCATGTCAAAGTCAGGGCTCTTGGGGCCAGAGGCTAGAGTTCACCCTCCATTGCTGCCATGCCTGTCACCTGGCCCCCACCTGCCTTCCCAACTGGTCCCTGACCTCTTCTGGGGCAACCCAGCCACTCCTGCCTCAACCTCCCCAAATGTATGATGGTCCCCAAGCATGGCCTTGTCTTCAGGTCCTTCTTCCTGAATGCCTCTCCCACTTTGCCCCCCTGGCACAACAGGCTGAGGCCCAAATCACACTCCCCTCCTTGGGGAGGCCTTCTCCATCCCTCCCAGCCAGAGGCAGTCCTGCCTCTCTTAGGCCCCCAGACTCCTGCTGTACCCCTCTATCAAAGCCTGATCCAGGGGACTCGCAGAGCCTGGCACCAGCTCCCTGCCGGCTGGAGGAAGGAATGAGGGTTGGAAGGGAGAGCAGGGAGCCTGGGGCTGTACCTTGAGCAGGAGAAAGGGCGTGATGATGTTGTAGGCCATGTGGAAGTAGTCCCCCACGCTGGGCTTGTTGAGCGGAAACCATTCGAGAGGGAACACCAGCTGGGGAGCAAGGGGAGGGAGGAATGGCGTTCAGCAGGCGCAGCCCCACAAGGCCCTGGGGGAGGAGCCCCCGCCTCCTTCACACACTCTTAATTCTTTCTGTGATCTCTCGGGATCCTCTCGGCAGCGACAGGGTGAAGGTGTCTCTGGACAGAGAAACTAAGTCCCAGACAAGGTAAAAGAACTTGTCCCCAGGCACACAGTAGATGCAAATCCAGGCCTGACCCTGTGCCCCTCTCCCAGTGAGTACTAAATAAATGTCCCTGGGCGCTGGCCTGGTAGTTGGAGGCTCCTTTGGGACTCAGTTGTGCCAACAACTTTCTTGGTGACCCTGGACAAGTCCTCCCCCTCTCTAGGCCTTGGTTTCCCCATCTGTAACATAAGAAATATGGTCCATGTGGTCTACATGGACCCTTAGGGATCTGGCACTCCTGCTCCTATGACGATGACAAGCTCTCCTGGCCACTAGGCCCAGGTGTGGAAAAACGCTTTGTCCACTGAGCAGATGCACTGCTTCCAAGTCAGGTCGAGAGTATACATTAGGAAACTGAGGGCCGGCTGAGTGGCTCAGTTTGTTAAGAGCTTGCTCAAGAGGAAATAAAGGAGAAAATAAGTGAGTTCTAGAGAGTAGCTTCAGTTCTTCCTTCCCTGCCTTCCCTGAGAGAGGAGGCAGGCCAGGGCAGTTCTTACCTCTGGGATGCCCTCACTCCTACTGGTCTATAGCAGTGACTCCTGGCCTTGCTGGGGCATGAAAACCCCTATTTCTCTCTCTCTCTCTCTCTCTCTCTCTCTCTCTCTCTCTCTCTCTCTCTCACACACACACACACACACACACACACACACACACACCACCAAACTATACTTCCAGTATCTGTTGATTGAAAATATGTGTAATAACCAAAAATTTCCATCAAGAATTTTAAATTTTATCTCTTTTAATTAAAAAAATACCACATTGGATAAAACTAATCTACAGAACTACAACTTCTAGGATAGAGGAACCTCATTCTCTCTCTTTCTCTTTCTTATTATGTGTGTGTATTTCTGTATCTTTTTCTATAGCAGGATATATATGGTGGCTGAAACACTCTTTGTGATAACAAAATACTAGACATACGCCAGCTTTTCAACCAAACAGTTGAATACACTACAATACATCTTTACTATAGAGGTTAAGTAGCCATTAACGGAAATGACACCTTATATGTACTGACATGAAGAGAGATCCGTGATAAAGTAAAACAAGCATGTTGTAGAATAAGGTATAAAATAAAATCTCATTTTGGTTAGAAAAAGAAAAAAGATGTGTATGTATGTTTGTGCGAGTAGAGAAAGGAGTGGAAGGATGTGCCCCAAACTGTCAAGGGTGGGCCTAGAAAGGGAGAGTCTCATTTCTTTATATACCTGAGTATGAACTGACTCGTTGCAACTTCTACATATTACTTTTATAACTGGTAAAAGGTTTTATTTTGTATTTATTAGAAGTTTGGGACTATCGTGTATATATTTGAAAAGCACCAGTGTATACACAAGCTTTTCAAACGTATATTCTCCCGATGAGCCCACTTGGGGCTACAGTGGCCACAGCAACTATAGGCAGGATGGGGAAGTGATTTGCCCAACAGAAAACCCCATTAGGCCACTTGAGTCTGAGTCCTAGTGAGTGAGGCGAGCCACAAGCCTGCTCCTGGCCTCTTCTCCCCATCCCCAGAGCACCAGTTCGATGGGCAGCTCTTTTGTCTCCCAATATGTGGGACCTTCACGTTGGAATGGGGCTCAGAGCAGCTAGTTCACCAGTCTTCTTACAGATGAGAGAATGGAAGCCCGGATGACAGTGATTTGCCCGTAGTCACACAAACCCTGAACAGGTGCCCTGACTCTTGGCTCAGTCCCTTTTCTTTCTCCTACATTAAACAAACATGGAAACCTTACAAAATGTCTGCAGAAGGGAGCACCAGCAACCACCATAACTCCTCCCCATTCCACTGCCAGGAAAGCTTGTCTTCATCCCTTTGTCTTTGATCCATGTATACAAGATTAGGATTGTTGCTGACTTGCAATTGGTGAGTATGCATACCACTTAGGCACTTTTCTCCTTAAACATTCCAGGTTGCTCTCTAGTGTCCATAATTCCTGCTTAACGGCCAGGTAACATTCTCTACACTGGAGATAGCAAAGTTGATTTACCCAGTCCCTACTGCTGGACCCTGAACTCACTTCCAAGTTTTAGCTACTGTAAACAATGCTGCAATGAACATCTTTGGGTAGAGAGGCTGTTGTCTTATTGCTGATTGAGCCTTCAGGGCAGATTCTTGGAAGGGGTGTTACTGGGTCAGGAGGGATGAACATATCAGGGTTCTGGATATATCCATGCTAGGAAGGGAGTGGGCACTAGGGCCAGACTGCCTGGGTGCAGATGCTGGCTCCTTCACTTGCTAGCTGGGTAAGCTTGAGGCAGTTACTTACTCTCTGTGTCTGCAAGTCTTTCTCATCTATAAAGCTGAGATTAATAATAGTGTTATTGTGAAAACTAAATAAGTTTAAAAATGTAAAGAGCTTAGAGCAGAGTAAGCACTCAATGTCTATTAATTGCTATTTCTACCTTACTGTTATTATTATTATTCATTCGATAAAAGTGTATTGGATACTTATTGTGCTAGGCACTATTTTAGGGACAAGTTATCACCTTGACAAACTGCTTTCCAAAAGGGCTTTGCTAATTTGCATTATCACTAGCATGTACAGGTGTCAGTTTCAGTGGTGGATATTGTTATTTTTACCACTCCTACACAAAAATGAACAACTTGGTACCCCGCTCAATTTTTTTCACATTCTGTTATCTACCTACTTACCTACCTACCTACCTACCTCTCTATCACAAGTAAGAGGTTTTGGTGCTCTTCCAGTATTAGCCTCCTCCATGGAGGCCGCCACTGTACCCTGATGCATGAAGCAACCTTAGAGGAAAGGGGATGGTCTTACCAGATGGCACTAAAAATTACCTGAGGCTCAGTGTCATGTATAATATCCAAAATCAGCCTATACGCTTTGCCTCCAGGAATAAATACCATCCCAAGGCTGTGGGGAAGGCTGGCAGGGATGCCCTGCTTTCCTTCCCACATCCCTCTGGCATGGTGATTTGGTTAAACCTGGATGCAAGATATAGGCAGGGCACAGTATGACTGTTCAGAGCCACCAATTCCCCCATGAGAGTCAGAGCATAATATGACATTCAGATCCCCTCAGCGCCCACTCCCCACACCCCCCACCTACTGGCAGTTGCCTTACTGGCCATAGTCACAGAGTCCAAGGATAAGAAAGCATTCAGGCCCATTCTCACAGTTTACCAGGAGGGGAAGTGACTTGTCTAAGGTCAGTCAGCTAATTCAACTCACACTAAGTCTCCTCAGTGCTGGCCCGGGCTCTGTCCACAGCTTTACACTCACCATGGCAATTGGGCGGCCAAAGTCCAGAACCCAGTTCTGCAGGGTGAAGTAGAACCAGAGGTCAAGGTGGAAGGGAGCTGTGCCGGTGGCCTCGTCAGCCTTGACAGAGCTGTGCCTGTGAAGGAAATAGACAAGAGGGGTCAGTGCTTCTTCTCTCCAACCATGGGACTCTCTCCCCCTCCCGCAATGATGCACAGAAAGGCCTGGGAGATAGGGGGCAGGAGGAAACACACATGATTAAGTTTTAAGGAAAAGATTTTGCAGGAAATACTGGGGTCTGGGCCTGCAGCCAAGGGGAAGGTGTCCTGGGAGTGGACGCCAGCTGCCCTGACCTTAGCTTCTCTGTGATTCAGGAAGGAAGCTGCCAAACATGTATAACAATTGTTTTCTCACCTATAAAATGATGAGGAAATCAAATGGGGCAAAGGATGTAAATGCGGCTGAAAAACATGAAACAAGATAATGGATGATAGCAGCTAAGCTTTATTGCACTTAATACATCCAGAAACTATTCTGGCTGTTTGCATATATTATCTCATTTCACTCTTTTAATCTTCAGAAACCATTTGAGGTTTGAATATCACCCCCATTTTATAAGTGAAAAAACTGAGGCCCAAGGTATTAAGGAATTTGCCCAGTTAGATAGCTAAATATGTGAACCTAAATGATTAAGCTTCAGAACATATATATACATACATATATATATATATATATATATATATATTTTTTTTTTTTTTTTCTTCAGTCTAGTTGTGGAGGACGTTGCTTCACTGGCCCATGTTGGTATTATCATTGCGCTCTTCCCAGGTGAGGCAGATCCGTCACTGGTCACTGGATGGCCGCTCACGGCGGCTCTTGGCAGCTCTCGCTGGCTGCCGGCCGCTCATGGTAGCTTACGGCATCCCACTGTAGCCCCACTGCAGCCTACACCGTCACCAGTGACTCACAGCAGCCCAGCTCCAGGTGGAGCTGTTGTTCACCATGTTAGCTGTGGAGGGCAGTGTCACTGGCCCTCATATGTGGGATCCGAACCGGGGCCCTGCTGCTCAGAGCTGGCGTCCCAAGCCAACTGTTAACCAATGTGCCACTTGGAGGGCCCCAGAGCTTATATTTTTAAACTCTATCTCAGAGTCGCGTCCACACTGATTGGTCTGTAGGATGGGCATGTGACCTGAGCTGGACCAATGAGCCCTCTACTGAGATTTGCCTTATAGACTATAGGCTGGAATGAATAGGGCCTCCCTCCCCCTTGGTTCCTGAACCATAAGGAGGTAGGAATTGGGCTGCTGGTGTCCCTCTCCTCATCAATCCATAGAGAAACTTAAGAAGGAAGCCAGCAGGGACAAGTTGATGTGAGAGCCATGGCATGAGTGGTGCATCATCATCTGACAACACATCTTTGGATGCCTGTTCCTCCTGCAAAGCAGTTAGCCTTCTGCTCTTCACAGGTGAGCTGAAGTTCAAGAGCCACCTCCTCCAGAAAGGCTCTCCTGATGAAGCTTTTCCCAAAGTCCCACCAGTCCCACTACAGGAAACGCTTCATCTCTATCTCCCAGCCTGGCCGTGACATCACAGGGCTGGAGTTTTCCCTCCTATCTAGACCCTCAAGAAGAGGAGAGACATTTAAGTTTCTCTCAATTCACCCATCTCCCCATCAGAGTCCAAATTCTCTTCACAGCATCCCTGTCACTACTTGCACACCTCCAGTGACAAGCAACCCACTACTTCCTAAGATGCTTGAGGTGTGAGTTTTATTGTCTCATTTGTGCCAAGAACAGGAGCTGTGTGACGTGACACAAATTCATATTCTCCACAGTTCTCAGCTCAGACCTGGTTTATGATCAGTGATTTCTGGCTGATTTGAAACAATCCCAATTACCAGTTACTCGTTCTTTTTAGTGGCAAACATTAGCTTAGAGCAGGGGTCGGCAAACTTTTGAGACGGAAGAGCTGCCAGGGGTCGGCAAACGGCAGCTCACGAGCCACATGCGGCTCTTTGGGTACGTACATGTGGCTCTGAAGTAAAATTGAAAATGAAAAAACTATCATAGTTTCATTTATAATATTACTTTAACTTTTCCTTATTTGCAAAAATATATTTATGGCTCTTGAATAACTTTTAAATTGTTGTGAGGGACAAGACTGGCTCTTCCAGGGGTCGGCAACCCTTTGAGTTAGAACGTACCCAAAGAGCCGCATGTGGCTCGCCAGCCGCAGTTTGCCGACCCCTGGCTTAGAGGCACCACAGAGGTTTTCCTCTGTCAAGGCTGCTATTGCTTCCATGACTTTTTGGAATCTTTTTCAGCCAATTTCAAGAATGGTCTACACTGGGCTGGCACAGCAACCCTGCGACCCAGAAGGCAAGCTCCTGGGGGATCTCATCATCCTCTGGTTGCAGGCAAGACACATGGAGTGGGCCTTTCCCAGGACAGGTAGGTCTTTCTGTCCCCTCACCACTGATAGAGTCTGACGTGTGCTATGTTAAAAACATCACCAGCACCATCTCATCTCCTCCTCATAACAATACCAGGAAGCAGGGCTTTTAACCTCCTGTTTTAAAGATGAGGAGACTGAGGCCTACAGGGGATAAGTGCTTAGCCAAGGTCATCCCTGTGGTAAGGAGCTGCAGCAGCGATTCCTTTGGGGAGCCTGTTTCCCACCCCTGCTTCTTCTAGGAAGAGATGATGTTTCCTTAGCCACAGGGAGGGCCAGTGACCCAGGCCAGACCAAGTGGGACTTTCCTAACTAGAGTTGGTAGAAAGAGCTCCTTTCTTTGTGCTGGGGCACAAAGGACGCAAACCTAGAGCTGCCTGTGGCCAAGGTTCCAGCTTCAAGGGACAGCCAGGTGAGAATTAAGCAGTAGCCCTGCTTAAACGAATCAAGGAAAAAGAGGAGAAAAATTCCCAGTCCCAGGCATCTCAAAGGCCAGTGGTCTGGCCATGTGAGCCAATGCATTCCCCTCTGCTGTGGGTGCTGCAGTTCACACTGGCTTTCTGTCACTTGCAACCCAGGAGTCCTGAATATCATAAAATTTAAACCTGGGTCTATATGAATTTAAGACTTCCGTTGTTAATCACTTGCTAGTCTGTTTCTGATCATTATAATAAGCTATGCAGCATATGAGGAGATCAGCTTAGAGAGGGATCAGTGCAGCCTGGGGCACGATGAAAAATGTAGAAGGAAGGGGGCCTCAAAGCATGGATGGGTGACTTTAACCAGGCAGAAAAGCAGCAGGACAGGACTGAAGGAGTCGAGGTGGACGTTAAGAAAGGCACTGCATGGAGTTGAGATGCCTGGTTCATGGTGGAGGAAGAGAAGCGAGGGGCTGGCTGGGCCTTCAGGTTGGGTCAATATTCAGAAACTAACTGCAAGGACTGCTCAGGGATCTGAGCCTAGTGACTGGCATAAAGGTGCCACCCTGCCCCTTCCCTTTAGTGACCATCAGGGCAAGGCCTCAAAAAGCGGACAGTGATAACCTCCAAGCCTGAAGAGCTTGGACGGAGGAAGATAAGAGCCCTCGTGTTTTGCTCCGGGAACCTCCAAACTGGGCAAAGAGAAAGATGGAATAAAAGGATTTTGAAAGCCTGGAAAAGCAATTAGGTGTGGGTCTCTAGAAGCTGTGACCATACTAGGGCTCAGTAGCTATTTCCTCCTCCACCTCAGGAGGCACCTCAGGCCATGGGAATCCCTGTCATTAGTCCAGCCTGGCTTAGCTGAGCAGGAAAAAAGGGGCAGGAAAGAGGGAAGACACCCAACTTGGGAATCAAGACTGATCAGCATCTGACTGGGTTTCTCCTGTTGGGTCTCTGACCATGGGAGGCAGATCACGGAGGGTGAAGGCATCCTCTCCCCGAGTCCCTGTCCTGGGAATGAACACCCTCAAGCTTGTGCCAAGTTGCTGACTCCACAGACTTCACACACTGATGCCCCAGCCTATGCCAGCTCTAGGTCTCAATCATCAGAAACGACTGCTACAAGCAATGGTGAAAGCACACTGGCAGGTAACCCAAAACAAGGCTGGCCTTTTCTCTCCTCCACAGCTTTACAAGTCTACCATATGGGGCAACTAGATACTACAACAGTTGGGGAGTGCATACCATCCAGCTGAAATATTCAAAGCAGGCAGCAGCCATCTGTAAGACTGCTTAGAAGGAAAGGTCTCAGCCATGGTGAAGACAAGCAGGGACCATGAATGGGGACTGTACAGGGACTGATTTTTGGTTCTATGTAATGGTGAAATACCTCCTGACGTGATGCAAAGTTTGAAAAGAAAAATGAGGAAATGAAGGCAAATAATAAGAGAAAAAAAGAAAGGCAATTAGAAACTCCAGGCGTAACAGAAGCAATATAAGAAAGCAAATGTAATTCTTAAAACATTACTTGGCTCTGTAAAGAACAGTAATTACATGGCTTAAGTAATGTAAATATGTGTATTGATTTTCAAAGTTTAGAATCAATCCACAGACAAAACACTGAAGCTAATTATGGTTAAAAAACAGTAGGTAAATATTATCAACCTTGACAACATGAAAGTAAAACTACATATAACAGGAGTTGGGGAAAAGGGTAGACAGCTAAAGGTTAGGGTAGGGGACTAATATTCTCCTTTAAAAAAGTAATCAAAGGATACTGCCTACAGTATCAAAAAAGAAATACATTAAAATCGTGGATTGAGAGTAACTTGGTTTGCAAGTGTTCCGCAAGACGAGCAAACATTTCTAATACATTTTAACGTGGTATACAAGCGATGTCTGACAATACGAATAGTTTGTATCCGGAACGAATTATGCTCGCAAACCAAGGTACTGCTGTAATGGTATATGCCTATTCCCTAAAGATACAAAGAGAAAAACTAAAAATAGTGATAAAAACACCATCTTGTGAAGATGAGTGAGCCAAATCATAACAGGACATCAATTGGTAAACATTAGCTTAGAGGTAAAATTGATAAATCAAGCAATAGCAGTTGAGCATAGCTTTCAAGGGTGTGGACTTTGGAGACTACCTAGATTTATATCCCAGAGCTCTGGCACTAACCAGATCTTGAACAAGTTACTTAACCTCCTGGACCCCAATGTTCTCATCTGTAAAATAGGGGATAATAGTAGATCCTACCTTAGGAGTTGTGGTTGAATTAATATGTGCAAAAACTTAGAGCAGGGCCTGGTCCACAGAAATGGCTAGATGGTGTTTGTTATTATTATTTAGAAATATGAATTTAACTTGGGTAGAAGCAGCTAAATGACACTAACATGGTTGTCTCTGGTGCCAAGAAGAAGTAAAACAGGGGACCACTGCTTTTCACTCTAAGCCAATGGTTCTCAATCTGTGGGTCACGACCCCTTTGGGGGTCGAATTACCCTTTCACAGGGGTCACCTAAGACCATCGGAAAACAAAAAGATATTTACATTACGATTCATAACAGTAGCAAAATTACAGTTATAGAGTAGCAACGAAAATAATTTTATGGTTGGAGGTCACCACAACATGAGGAACTGTATTGAGGGGTCGCAGCATTAGGAAGGTTGAGAACCGCTGGTCTAAGCCTTTCTGTGCTACTTAATCATGGGCATGTATTACTTTGATTATAACACACACACACACACACACACACACACACACAGTCAACAAAGCAGGAATGGACTACCTTGAAAGATAATGAGCCTCTTGTCATTAGAGGTATGTAAGCAAAACACAGATGCAGCAGAGGAAATCCAAGCATCCTAAGAAATGGACAGAATGAGTCTACCTACTGTCAAGAGCAGCAATGATACTGAGAATGGGCCCAGACGCTCCCAGTGAGGGGGGGCAGAGACACGCTGGGAGAGAGCTAGCCCCTTACACCATCCCCAGGAAGTATCCTAGCTGGTCCCCTAACCGGGACACTGAACTTCACTGGGCCTAGGGCGCCCCCAGGAAAAGAAGGGAACGGGAGGTGGGGCCCACGCAGAAGTAAAGAGAGACATCACTCCTTAGCAGCCAAGTGTAGTAAGAGCAGAAACCAGAAGTTAGAAGGCCTGGGTTTAGGCCCTGGCTCTTGCCAGCAAATGATGAAACGTCTCTGAACCTCAGTTTGCCCATACACAAAACACACACACACACACAAAACGAGTAAGATGCTGGACATGGAAGCCCCACACCTGAGATAAAGTGGTGACCATATCTGATACCCACCAACAGTTTTAACTGGGCTACTACAGTTCAGAGCAGTCAGGTTCCCAACTTGAAAGGGATCCTGATCAGAGCTGTCCCTCAGCAGCAGGAGAGCTGCCTTCAGTCAAGCCTCTCAGACTTCTCCCTGCACCCCAAATCATACTACAAACTTCCTAAAATTTCCTCTGAGCACACTAGTGCTCAAAAACTTTCCATGGCTCCTCTGTACCTACAGAATAAAGGCTGCAGCCACTTAAAGGAGGAACTAGCGTGAGGCAAATAAGGCACACAGGGTCCAACACTTAAGTAGGCACTCTGAGGGTTGTACCCTGTCCCGAAAGTGTCTCCTTAAATTTTGCACTCTAATCCCAGCCCTGCTGCCATTAAAGGTCCTTCCCAATTATTCTGCAGCCTCCTGCCACTAATACTCCCAGAAAGCTCCAGCATCATCGCACTTCTTGCCTTTCCCCAAACTCTCTCCTCGCTGGAACAGCCTTTCTTTCCTGTGTCACCTACGGAGTCCTCTGAGACGCGACTCAAGTGCCACTTCCTCCATGAAGCCCTCCAAGATGACCTCTCAGCTCCTTCCGGACTGTGAGCTCCTCCGGGCTTCATCTTGCCCACCCCTTTAGTGCCTGGCACTGCGCTGGGCACACTAGAGATGCTTAATGAATGCCCGTGAACGCAACGATGTTTCTAGGCTGTAAAACAGGATGAAAGCAGAAAGGAGGGAAAGATTAAAAGGCGGCTTTCATGCTTTTTCCTCTGCCCCGCCTGGTACCAACTACAACAACCAATACCGTCTTCCCCTTGGTGAGAGAAGAGACCGAGACCGCATGAGGAAAGCCCTGTCTGCAAGGGAACGTCCACACTTCTGCTGCTCTCTCTTCCATTTACATTCTCACATTCTTGGGCTCCCGGGGCAAGGACTGAGCCTCCTGATTAATACCAGAATCCAAATCCTATTCAGGGTTGGAGGGACTCCCAAGAACTTGGGAGGTGGCGTCCGGGCTTGCGGGTGCGTTGTGGGCCCGAGTGAGCGGTGGTGTCCTCTGGGCCCGCAGCCCTCACCCCGAGGTTGTTTAAGGCCCCTGGAGAGTTCTTCCCAGCTGAGCGACTGCCCTAGAGCTGACCCCATCGCGGGGGGCGCTGAACTTCACTGGGCCCATGGCCCCCCCCCAGGAAGAGAACTGAACAGGAGGCGGGGCTCAGGCAAGGGAGTAGCTGCACAGGTAGCGCGGGGAGGCCGGGCCCCGCAGGCAGCATCCAGCCCACCCCGGCCCGGCAGCAAGAAGGTCTGCCCACGGCCGTCCGCAACGGTCACGTGGGGATGGGGGTTCGCGGTGCCGCTGCGCGGTGCCGGCGCGCTCCCACCTGGCTTGCAGGAAGGAGGCGCCCGGCTGCGCGCCCTGGCCGCCCGCTGCTCCAGGGTGCTGCCGCCTCCGCACCGCTGCCTCCATGGCTGCCCTGCCGCTGGCTGGCCCCTCCGCTTTGCTTTCCCGAGTCACAGAAGGGCTCGGCTGGCCAGGCGGCGGCGACAAATACGACGCGCGGGGGCGGACTAGGGCGGGCCGGCTGGAGAGCGCTCAGCCTGAGGCGAGGGCGGAGACGGGGCCCGGGGGCGGGGCTGGCGGAGGAGGGACGAGGAGGGAGTGACACAGAGGAACCCGGGGAGCAAGGGAGGCGGGGCACGCTCTGTGAAGGGAAAGAGGGACGCGGCGATCTCAGCGTCCCGGGTGAGTAGCGGGGGTGGAGGCCTGCGCGCGCAGCGCGTGTGGCCTTGTGCGGGCTGGAACTTGCTGGGGTCGCCTGCATTTCGGGGGGTGGGAAGCGTTGCCTCAGCTGGCGGAAGCCAGCCCGGCTAATGGTCTAGAGTCCGGTAGGGACCTGGGAAAAGACTAACCTGACCCAAATGCTCCCCTGGGGAGGAGGCGAGGCGGGGATTCCTTCGTTCTTGGGAACAGGAAGGCTTGGGGGTTCACGTCCTAACTTCCTCAGAAGGAAGAAGTCGCTTCCTATTATGTCAACTCTGAGGCCCTCAACGCTAGGAATTAAATAATCGGTGGGATAAGAGGGTAGCGCGCAGAGGAGCCGCAAATTCTTTCCAAGTTGGGTGGGATGGGGGTGATGCAGTTTGCAACTCTGGCATTATCGCTCTTGGATTTGGTGGCTTTGGAAAAGTCACTTTCCCTCTCTCCCTTTCGAACATGTAATAACTGTGCGGGCACACTGCGGGCAGGAACGGATAAACTCCGCCCGAGCTGGGCTTAAGCTGGGGTGGAGGAGGGTAGATTTGGTGAGTGGTGATGGGGAAAGTACTGAGTATTGTGCGGGGCGAGACCGGAGGGGGTGGGGTCAGACAAGGCTTCTGGAAGATGGACATCTTAGTTGTGACTTTGGACTTATGAGCTGACATGAAGTCTGAGCAGGAGTCAACAGGACACACACAGCGGTGGGAATGACTTTTCCAAGCAGTGGGAACAGCCAGGCAGGAGGTCTGGCATCCAGAGAGACGCAGGAGTTTGGAGGAACAGAAACGATTTCAGGGACAGCGGCAGAGCGCAGGGAGAAAGAGCAACAGAGTTGACCCTGGGAAGGGACCCGTGCAGAGGAGCGTCTTTATGCTGAGAACAATGGGAAACAGTTCAAGAGTATAGGTCAGGGGCATGGCACCATCGTATTGCATTTTAGATCCTTTCCTCCACAGCGTGGGTGAATGAGAAGAGGCAGGACTGGAGACTGGAAGGTGGGGCTTCAGGAGCACAGTTATTCTAGTGAGGGGTCTGGACTGCTGACACGGACTGGGAAGGAGAGAGTGGATGACATCGAGTTGTGTGGGAGGTACTGTGGCTGTGACTTGAATGTCAGGAGTGAGGAGAAGAGTTCTGGTGGTGGCCAGCTTCTGCAGCTGGGTGGATGGCGGAGGCTCCCCTTGGGAAGTGAGGAAGTGGGAAGCAGGTTTAGGGTAAATGAGAATTCATCCTTGGTCACATTAATCTTGAGGTGGGTCAGGAAGACTGTTGGACCAGATCTGAGAGCTGGAGGTGGCACATTAAAGCTTAGGCCAGACTTGGGACCTGGGCAGACAGACTTGTGTGTCAAGGGAATATAGATGACAACCAGAATCTAAGGAACTGCCTGGGAAGACAGTGTCCCTGTGAGAAGAGAGGCAAATGGCAAAGCCCGACAACAGCCTGGGTTTCAGTCCTGGTACTACTTGTAACTAGCTGTGACACGGGCAAATTGCTCACCCCTTCTCAGCCTCAATGTACTTACCTGTGACAAGGAGAAGCCTACTGCACTGGGGTTGTGATAATGACATGAAGTAATGCACACGAAGCACTTAGCACAGAGCCTGGCACTGGTGGGTTTGTTATCTACAATAGTCTGTTCCCAGACCTGATATTCCCTCTGTGATGTGAGGGGTTTGAGCTATGCCTATTTCCATTCTATTTTCTTTCCTGTCTTTTCTCTTAAGACACTTTTATTAGGTTTATTCCTTGTCCTTTTAATCAGAACCCACTTGTCCTATCTCAGTTGGGGAAGGTGCCTGCGTCTGGTCATTTTCCATCAGCCTCATCCTGGGCTCCAGTACCCCACGGGCCATACCCCAGGGCCCACAGTTAGCTGTCCAGGCCCCTTGCTAGAACAGCCGTGCCTCTTCTGCTCCACTGAAGGGCATGTTTGCTTTATAGGTTTCTTTCTCTCATTGGCTTCTCACCATGCCGTAAGCAGAGCCTGTGATGCCCCTGTTTTGCAGCAGAGAAAACCAATGTCCTGAGCTGAAGTGGTGACACACCCAAAGTCAGCCAATGACAATGCTCAGACTGTATCCCAGGTTTAATTTGGGCGAATCTGATCTTCCATCTGCAGGTTGATCTATGTATACACCAGAGAAGAAGGATTGAGGCTTCCCGCGCTGACCCCAATCTCTCATTCTCTGCTGGCATCACAAGCCTGCTGGGCTCCAAAGGAAGGGGCCTGAGGTACCCATGATGTAATCATGGATTTGATAACACCCAGGGCTGGGCTTCCAGCCATTAGAGGATGAGGCTGTGTGGAGGGGGCCTCTCTTGCCCATTTAATCCTCCAATCCCTTAAATACCAACAAATCTGCGTCCTGTCTGGAGCCAGCAGCTGACTCTTGAGTGGAGGGGAGACCAGGCTGGCAGGGAGCCAGGCTATCCTGAAAGAACAAGTTGAAAACTCCCCCAGCCTGGTGGGATGAGTCCCTCTCTTTCCCATCCCATCAGGACTCTAAAAACACCATCTGTATTAGCTCTCACATTGCACGGAAATTCTGGAGGGTAGGACGTTGAACAAAGTACCAACTCTTGGGCACGGAGGGGTACACATTTCCAGGGATATTGCTTGCAACTCTCTGGGGACATGGTTCCTGCATACCAGAAGGGCAGATGGCCTCAGCTCTGAGCTGCCATTTTAATAAATAGCATCAAGGAACTTTTGAACTGTAAAGGTCCTTTGGGATTATCCAGCCCAGTGGTTTCAATTTTTATTTTAGCAGATGCTCTCACACTTTTTCAATTACAGCTGTATCAGATACTTTTTAATGTACCACCTTTTAGACCCTGTCAGTCACACCTGTCTTCCAGGTCCTTGCCACTTGTTTCATTCCATCACAAGACAACTGCACCCCCACCCCTTCTGAAATTCTGGCCTCAGAAGTTCAGTGTTGGACACTCCATGGGGTGAACCTTTGACCAACAAAAGACAGGAGTTGGCGGATAAATTCTTTTCCTCTTTCTGGATGAACAGCCCTAAGCGTCACACAACCTCTTTAAAGAAGGTCCCACAGGATCCAGCATCAGCCAGTGCTCATGGTGGCCAGCTCAGCAATGCACTCTTGTGTGCTCCCCCTCCTCTGTCTT